AAAATCGAGTTGGGACTTTGAATTAAGTCTACCAGACGATCAGTCTTCATTGTTGACCTATACTGTCTGTTACTCACGTTCTAACTTTGCAATTCACCCCGTTCTTTGCTACTTCGACCTGGCCGTAAACCAAAGCAACCTCGCATCCAGTGTATTCTGCGAGCGAGTCGAGCAGGCCTTGAAAGGTGTCAGGAACGCGACGTCTGGCTCTACCATACCATGTCAACAATTAGCTTCGCAAAAGAGGTTGCACATACGCGGCCTGATCGTCATTGTCGAAGGAGGCAGCGGCTACCATCTTGGCCTTCGAATATGCGTCTTTACTGGCCTCTCCGTCGTCTTCAGCCTCCCGGTGAATCATCTCCTGTACTTCTGGGGGTTCTTGCTCCAGCATCTCCTTTGCGACTTCGCACCGCTTCTTGATCCGCTCAGCGTGCGGCAAGCGGTGGTATCCCCTATCTTCGAATTCGTCTTGAACCTTGGACTTGAACTTTTCGTGGCTCATATAGAACTGGAAATCGGGCACGCGTCTCGGTGCGGAAGCATTGCCAATTCGAAGCTGTTTCAGAAGACCCTCGAAAGGATTGGGTTTGTCGTAAATGTTTTTCTGCCGACTGAACCATGATATGATACTCTGTTAAACTGGTCAGTGAATGACAATGTAACATGACAGAATACTGACCGATTCCGTCTTCCCCAAGATCGTCGCCTTCTGTGTCTTTTCTTCATCATTTTCTGGTGGCCGCGCCAGCTCGAGGAGCTTCTCGGGTTCTTCTGGTGGTTCCATCGACAACGGACAGCGCCAAGGGAACCTCTCCCAGTACTTGGGAAGAAGGCGATCCCAGATGCTCTTCCCCGAACCACGCTTGGGCCTTTTTCCAGTCTTGGTGATCAACGCGTACTCCTCGACCCATCCCTTTAGGAACTTGAGGTGCTCGCCATGAAAGTTCCCTCGGTTACCGCGCTTCTTTATTTTCGCGCCGCTTTTGTGTTCTGGCTCGGAGTCATCCTCGGACTGACTATTCTGCAATGGATCATCTGAGTCTGGGAGTTGTTTGGAAGACGATGATGCTTGTGCCATCTGGGTAGTCATTTTTTTTGCGAAGGGAGTCAGCAAAGTTAGAAGGGCCAACTCTACTGGACTGGACGACACCACATTATCTCCACCAGCACCAGCACAAATCTAAATTTTGCGATTTGGCCGGCATCGCTGTCACATAGACATACAGTTACTCGCTTCCTTTTCGACCACCATGTCTGCCGCAACCACTTCCTCGTCCAGCGCTGCCCCCCGCCTCCACTTCGTCGTCCAGCGTTGCCGCTGCCCCCACACTCGCCTATGTGAGTATATTTCTTTCTTTGCAGCTCTTCGGTGTGCTCAGCTTGATGCAGACTCTCGAAGAAGGCACCATCACCATTCGCTACTACCGCATCGATGGCAAGGCTGGCCTCCAAACCTTTCCCACTTCTCGCCCTCTGCATCGCGCCACTATGGGCCAAATTTTTTCCTCCTTCGCCTCAGTCTGGGAGTCACAACCAATGTTCTGCTCGGAGTGTCCTTTCGGCTGGACAACGCTTCTAGCCAAAAAAATAGAACGCAATTTCACCATCATCCACCGCTGCAAACACAATCGCCCCGACGACAGGCTCGAGGATGAAACAGCCAATGAAGCCATCCGCAACCTCTTCGACCAGCCCTACTATCCCGTCGAGGGTCAGGTCATCGTCATCAAACACGGTTATCTGCCCATTGAGCTTTGTTCGGATACCTCGTTGCCCAGCGCCTTGTACAAGGTCACTCCTCGGAATGTCGAAGAAGCCGACATTCCTCTCATTGATCTTTTTGTTCGCGAGTACGTCCAGTGTCATAGCATTTTCTTCGTCTTACGTCTTACTAGATGGGCAAATGGTGGTCCGCTCGACATCCCAGTGCCACGGCGAGCATACGAGATCTTGGGACAAGGGTACTTCGAGTAAGGGCGTGGTGTTGCGTGTCGTATATACTGCTTGTTTTTTTGTCGCATTTTTCATTACAAATTTTTTACATAACCGTCGAAATGATTGACATAAAGTGTGACCTCGTGTGCGGGTTGTCTCAAACCTTCAATGACCTTTCGCCCTCCAATAACCTCTCGGCGACGCTGTTAATGCGTTCCAATCGTCCAAACTTATGGTCCCCGACCTGTGGCGCTCGAAAATTTGGCTCTTGACCTCCGACTACTTCGTATGCCCAATGGCTCAAACCACATCCCACTCCTCGTCGTTGTCGTTGTCGGGTACGCTCCGTTTATCTGTGCACACTTCATTACTCATCCCCTCATAGCTCTGCAGGAGGTGTTGTCTCCCCCCGTTATATCTGCATCACCGTTGTCCCCGTCCCTCGACTACACGCACAAGCGCATCAAGATCAACGCTCCACGTTCTTGTCTTTCGCAAGTACAGACGGGGAAGCGGTTGAAAATGCTTGGTACGAGCTATTGTTCTGTCAATAATGTGAGCTAACTTTTCTTTCAATGTCATAGGGCGCGCCAAGCAGGCCCTGGCACGACACCGCTTTGAGGAAAACCGCAAAGGCTCTCACAAGGGAGGTGAAAAGGGATTGAAAAGCCAGACTGGGATGCTTCTGCCCAACTCAATGCCCAACTCGATGAATCTGCTCAACGACCCAGCGGTCGAAAAATATCGCCTCTACATTGAGAGTCTTCCACACCACGGTCTGTTTTACTTTCCAAATTTTAGCTTGGATATATTTGACGAGTACATCTTGTAGAAAAACGAGGCATACTTCTCGAATTGCGCAAGTTTCAAAAAAATCATCTTCAGCAAGCATAGCCAGCTTTGGGATAGACGTCGCGAGCTAGGACGACTGTGGGTTGAGGAGGAGAACTTGAACACAGAGCTCATCTTGCGACGTGCTATAGACGCGATTGAGGAGCAGCGTGAGTGGCTGCAGGGTCTTCACGACGAAGCATCAGGTCAGGAGGACTGGCTGATGAAGTACACAACCGCAAGCCCATTTGCTTGGTGAAAACAACATATCGCTATCTCTTGTGTCGTGCTCGTTCTGTACCTATCTCTTCTCCTCTACCTATTATCTCTTGTCTTCTTGTTTCTCGCCGCACGTAGATTGTACTGTACCGCCTTGTCTCTCCTGCAGCTGTCAATGAAAAATTTCTCTGGCGCAATTACCTGGCTGGTCGTGCACAGTAGTAGATGGGTTTACTCTTATGAATAGCTCACCCTGAATACCCGATCGCTTCAAAAATGGGCTAAATCACCTGGGGAATAATGTCACGGAATTTGGTATCTTGATCTTTCATCCTCCTTGCCAGCTTATAAAATCGAAACACTGTACCATAATTTGCTATCTTGATGCCCCTTTTGAAATATCGAAGAATTTTGCGTATAGAACTTTTGCTTGTTTTTAGAGACATCAGAAACGACCGATAGCTGGGCTGAGTTCCGATCTGGGACTGTGACTTGACTCTGCACACTTCCATTCATGCCTCCAACTAAAGCACTGTCGGCCGATACCTCAAACAACAACCACCACAGATCACACCCCAGGTGCGTGTGTATTGTCTGTATTCCCAAACCCTCCGCCTTGACCACCGTCATGAATTAGCTCCCCGCCAGGAGCGCTCCAAAAAGGCGAACGGTACCTCAACTCCGATAGATGGTTCTTCTCCACTCAGGCTGTTGCTCAGCACACTATAATCTACGAGCCCTGCGTTTGCCCCGCTCACGATTGGAAGCTCAAATATATTACAGATGCTGAGCGAGCGTGAAGGTATGATGTCCTTTCCTTCTCTCCTCTGCGGTTCTTCTCTCTTCTCATACTTACGAACTAGGCCTTACTTTCCATTACCCAACACATTCGCCTGCACTTCTTATCCCATACACCAACCACCACAAACTTCTTTCGACCTTACCGAAGTTGCCGTTCTCAGTGATCATTGCCACGAGAGGAAGAGACACAGGCGATAGAATCTCATGTTTAATGGTTAGAACTTGCTCAAGATGTCGTCTATAATGTTTCATGCTGCAACCTGCTTGTCGATTTCTGAATTTTGTGTCGAGTGTAGTGTCTGTGAGGTGTGACCGACCAATCTTCTTCTTCACCCACTACCTCGCTCGAACAGAACTCTCCAATGGCACCTCCCACGAAATATCGCAATGCCGCCGAGAAGAAAGAAGCCCGACGGCTTCAGCAACTGAAGTATCGCCAGAGCCTTAGGTATGCTCAGCAAACGATTGAGCCTCAGACTGAGTTTCTATTCAGAGGCGCTCTAATGTCGCAAGCATACGATGCTCACCGAAACACCCGGAAGGTTGCTAAGCCTCTCCGTCTTCCCATGCCGCCAGCCCTTGCTCTGGATCAAGCCCACTTCGAAGTTCTTGACGACGAAAAAGGGTTTATGTTCTACTTCGATGAGGACTACGAGCTCGCAGACAGCGACATGAAATTCTGGGTCGCGTTCCCTTTTTTCATCCCAGAGGACGACAATACATCTACTTGTGGTATCGAATATCAGCAAGAAACTCGTCGTCTTGAGGTGGCCTTACACGCGATCGCTTTGGCGGGCTGAGCAAAGAGATGAGGCGGCGCTTCGCAAATCACTGAACGAACTCGCTCGAGAATCGAGTGAATATGCTCATCGATACCAAGTACAGGCCTACCAAGCCGCTCTTCAGTTCTGGCGAACACATTTCCGATGGGTCAACAGCTTCACACCCGACGAGAATCCAAGAAAGCACACCCTTTTCATGTGTAAATGGCGCTGGGCAGCACGCAAAAAGTAGTGCGAATGTATTTCTGCAAATACATGGGGGATAACTGAGTGCGGGTATTTGTCCAAATTGTGCTAGTTCCACCAAATACTTAGAATATGACCCTACAAATGAAGTCTGGAGTATCTACTCGTGTTGACAATTCTTTACTTGACGTCGCAAAATTTTCATCATCACATGACACCTCTTCCCTTTTTGAGTCTTCGTTGATGACCTGGCGCAGGCAGCGCAACAAAAGACCTCGCTCACCCTCTCCTAGCATCCACACACGTGTCATACCCATCGCATCCGGGTCCTTGACCTTCGACGCCCCTTTCGACGGAGCCATACAACGTGTCTCAGTGGACAGTCGAAGAACTTTCACGGAATCAGTTACCGTCCTCCCTCCTTCACCTTTAAAACGACTTCGAATCAATCAGGCTTCTCAGGCTGCGCCTCACACCAGGCCTATCATCGACATTCACCTTGATGCCTATAACATGGGCACTGGAGACGACAATTGGACAGAAGACGCAGAAGAGCCACCAGTAGGCCTTGCAGCGATAGTGCCCCAGGTGCTACGACCTGCTGTATGTCATTATAACCCGTTTCTTCCCTCATGGCTGATGTCTTTTGTAGGATTCGGGCGCTACGGGACTGGATGCAGCACTATCGCGACGACTACCTCAGAATATTACTTTGGTGACATGGCAGGGGTGACTTCATGGACTTTTGCTGTGTTTGCGGGGGAGGAAACCCGTCCTATCGTTGTGCGGAATGCTTTGGAGGAGATTTGTGGTGCAAGACTTGTTGTGTCCAGAGCCACCGACGAAATCCTTTTCATACCATTGAGGTGCGGATTTTTGCAGCAGGAACTTAACGAAGCACCTAACTCTTCATCAGCTCTGGAATGGCGCTTACTTCGAGACTTGCTCACTGAAGAGCATTGGACTTCGCGTTCAGATGGGCCATCCACCTTCTCAAGACTGCGACCGACCCATTCCAGCTCGCAACGACTTCCTCGTTCTGCACTACAACGGCATTAAAGACATTGCTGTCGACTACTGTGGCTGTCGCAGAACCTCAGACCCGTATTACGCCCAATTATTACGGGCCGGTCTATACCCCTCCACGACCGACACCCCAAGGACATGCGCAACGCTGGAATGCTTGGAACTTTACCATACTCTTACTCTTCACGGCAAAATCACTGGCTGGGACTTCTATCGCTTGCTAGAAACCCAAACCAATGCCATTGGAATCAAGCCACCCGATCGATATCAAGTCTTTCTTCGGATGGCTTGTCAATACCGTCATCTCCTTTCTCTCAAACGCGGCGGTCGTGGATACGATGCAAGGGGAGTATTGGGTACAACACCAGGCGAGCTGGCGGTACTTTGCCCTGCTTGTCCCCGTCCAGGCGTTAACCTGCCGGATGACTGGCAAAACGCTCCTCCAGCGCAAGCGTGCGTTTTTCTTTACTTCTAGCTGTTGATCTCTTCAGTGGCTTGTATGTCTTTTTTCTGGCTATGGACGCCTGCTTTCGACTTAAGCGGCGCGCAATCTCCAACGAGATCAGAGATCCAGCCCTCAGCAACGGATGGGCATATATGGTCGAATGGGAGCCTTACAAGGATTACTTGCTCAAGGTCGGTGACCAGAAAGAGGTACTGTGTTAGTTTGTGTTATATCTTCTGTCGATACTGACAAGGTTTTCAGATAAGTACCTGTACTGGATTGGCTGCCCTTGACTATGCCAATTCGAAGTTTTCGCGGGGCTACAGTGCAACTGGAGTCGGCATGGGAGTCTGCGCTCGACATGAATTCGTTCAACCTAATGGAGTCGGTGATCTTCAAGCTGGGGAGCGGTATGAAAACTTTCCTTCTTATCTCAAAGGCTTGACCATTAACTAGATACGGAAACATGGACTATATATTCGGCTCAATCCTACGCCACTTACATCCCTTACTTCGCAAACTCATCTCCTACGATATCGCTTGCCAATGGTGGAAAAACCTATATGACCGACTACGAAAACTGCCTACAATGCTTCGCCTGCTCTTAGTCCTCGAAGTTTTCATGAAACTCTTCGTCTTCGTTGTGCCCAAACTACATATTCTGGGACACACGACGGCGTGTCAACTCTTGTATTCCCTCAATTATACCCTTGGAGGAGGCCAGACGGACCGGGAGGGGATCGAGCGCCCATGGAGTATGATTGGCGGAATCGCAGCAAGTACAAGGGTCAGTGGACCTGGCGCAAGATCCGATCTGCTCGATGACCATTGGAGTTTTTGGAACTGGTCGAAATTGCTTGGGCTGCGTTCGTTCCCTGATTAATTATTTGCTCCCTTATACTAACGAAGTACCTGATAGCGACTCTCCTTCGCAAACGTCTCGATACAGCCTTACACGAACAAGCTATCCAGCAAAAGGCTTTCGAAGAGTTCTCCTTAGATCAAGCCGAACGAGTACCCAGTTGGAAAGCAATGGTGCATGAGTTTGAAGCAGACGGTACAAAGCCCAATCCATATGAGGGCAAGGTTGAGGGTAATCAAAGTCTGGCAGTCTTCTTACCGTTTACTAACCAATACTTTTCAGGTCTTACTGAAGCGCAAGTGCGAGAGAAGTTAGAAGCGGAGGAGGAGACCCAAACCTCATCCGGGAGGAGACTACGCATCCACGAAATCACCCCAGTCAATTTCGTGACTGATTTACTCGAGGTCGAGAGTGAGCAGTGAGTAGACTTCGTCGTTTGACAAGGATGACTTTGTTTTACTCATATACAATCTCAGACGTCCGAGTGGCTGGTCTGGCTGAGCTCAAAAAAGCAAAATCCACGACAATGAAGATCAATCTCCGTAGTCTTCGTCGAGGCCTCAACAAAAGAATCGCCAAAGTTCGTCAATTGCAATCGACATATATGCCCGCGTCGCTGCTGCAGCTCAAAGATATCGAGGCCTCGGAGGACACTTTGCTGGAAGATATTCCTTTATTACCTCCCTCGGCGCTGACGCGACAGCAGCGCGAAAACGGAGGCTGTCTGGATGGGCTCGTTGAGATCGAGAAGGACATGCGAGAGGCTCAGTGTCGAGCCGCTCTTGTGGGGTTGCGCAACCAACTACTCGTCAAGTATCGGCTTTTGCTTTACAAGACTCATCACTCGCAGAACCAGACGATGAACACTCGCTCAAGATCGCTAGTCGCGCGCAATGAGAACAAAGTCTTGTTCTACTCGAAGAAATATCAGGCCGCGTGGCTGGCTTTGGTCTTGATAGCGGAAGGAATCGAAGGAAATGTGGGCTGGAAGCGGCTTCTCAAAGAGGATATCCGCTGCCTCGAAGACTCTGAAGAGTTAGTCAAGAAGCAAATGAAAGCAAAGAAAGCGGAGGTTCGCCGTGCGCGGGATGAGCGAGAGTTACGGGCGGCTGGGATAACTCCCTTGAATATACATCGTGTGCAGGAGGGCGAGGGCGATACCAATGACACCGATAATGAGGACATCTCAGCGATTTCGGCCCCTTCAAAGCGGCATTCAAAAAGCAAGAAAATGCCTGCTCCGAAGGGTACTGCCATTCAATCTGGTGAAAGTCGGAGGGTTGTGTCGTGGATCTGGACCACGGCAGGCATGACAGGTTCTGACGCGGAAGTGGAGGAGGGTAATAGAGGTTTATTTTTCGATTGTTTCTGTTTGCTTAAACGATGCAGCTTTACGAATCAAGTGGGCCAAGGCGTACGCTCGAAGTGCGACGATGGAACGAAGAGGTCACCCTCTTGAACGAGGAATGGCGTCGTCTGCCGGAGTCTTTTGCTCATGAGGAGCGCATTTGGGCGGAGAGGGCGCAGAAGGTGCCGGTGGGTGCCCTTCCGACGGCAGACGCCGAAGGGATGATTGCCTATGCTGCAAAGCATACCGTCATGTATCGGAGCCTAGCACTCAGAGCCGAGACAACCCGTACCGAGGCCAAGCTCAAAAAGGGTGCTCGTCGAGCCAGAGTTCCCGACGCGCTACACAATGCTTGGATGGGAATAGCGGCGGAAGCGGGTGATACACGGGTGGCCGAGACAATGGAGGTGGACATAGACGGTGCGATTGAGCGAGACGAGGAGGATGCTGAGCATGGGAATATCAGTGACGAAGAGCTATTATTAACGGGCGAAATTGATGATTGGTAATATAGAATTCATGATGCGTTGAATACGGACTATCGGCAGACCCGGCAGGGGAGAATACCTAGTGATCCCATCATTGGGTGCAGTTTCCGGGCGCTGAGGGGTGCCATATATGGCAGTAGACATCTTTCACCTTATAGCCCATAACTTTTGCATTAGCCTGGTAGGCAATGACCATCTTCTTTCGCATAGAATGGGCCATAGGTGGTGGCCCAGTCATGTCGGTTCTCCACCGTGGGGGTGACGCTTTTGCACCAGTTGTTGACCCGGCCCCAGGATAACCCTCTGTCCCTCGGCGTCTTACATTCGATCCGGTCCGAAACGCGCATGTTGATGCAGCCGGCGGATTTCGAACTGATGGATTACTTGGACATTGGTTCTCCGCTGCTCAAATGGTAGAGCTGTACGCTCGGGTGAGGAGCGTCTTCAGCGCGGTTGATGACTCAGGATCGACCCGGCTCAGCTTGTGGGAGCAGAGGGCCGCCGCAGATTGTCGCCAGGCCGGTCACTCGAGCCCCGTTCCTGGGGGTACTCGGCCTGGGTCGGGGTCGCGACGTCCTCCTCCATCGGGTCCTTCGGCGGGTCGAAAAGGAAAAGGTCGCACGTAGCCGTCGGTTGTTTCTTTTTGTGTTATTATTTTTTGTAGTCCTTGAATCTTTGTTTTTTTTTTCCCAATAGATCGTACTGCCCCCCTCGTGTGTTCTGTTGTGCGGACGTAAGTGGATCGCTTAGATTCTGTCAGACTGCGGGTCGGGCCGTGCAAGGATCTCTCCTAAGAACGTGCACCCGGAACAGAACAGACGGATAGTCGGGCCCGCAAGTATGGCGGGCGGGGTAGATCGAAGCCGAAAGGGCCTGTGAACTCGGTCCCTTGTTGCTATCGGTGGTCGAAGGTTCGAATCGGGTCGTGTCGGGCCCGATGAGTCGATAACGCCTCCTTGCGCGGAGTAAGGTAGTTCTTCAGACGATCTAAGCGATAGAGTACAGGGTACACTATCACATCTTATATATGCGGGCCCGCAAAGGGGGTGATCGGACACCCTGGTCTCTCCTGCTCCTCCTCGCCCCCGTTCCTGGCTGCAGAGGGGACGATCGTACATCCCTTGCATGTGTCGAGTTGGGCTCGGTGATGGCTCGACGCGCGTCGTTCTCGGTCACGTGCTTCCCACGTGTGCATTCCTCCTACTGGGCGCATGTTCCCCGTCGTCACGTGCTGCATGCTACGGGCCCGCGATGGCCCGACAATGGCCCAACACCAGCGCCGACATCCTGGCAGTTCATCGCGGACTTCACCCGAGAACTTTGGCGTCTAATCGGCATCAAGCCTGCCACGTCCACCGCGTATCACCCGCAGACGGATGGGCAGACAGAAGAGTTGGAGCAATACCTGCGGATCTTCACTAACTATCAGCAGGACAACTGGGACGAGCTGATTCCGGCCGCGGAGTTTGCCTACAACAACCACGTTCACTCCTCCACGCAGCAGGTCCCCTTCATGACGGACATGGGACAGCTCCCGCGCATGGGCTTCAAACCCGGAGTCTGTTCCACCATGGAGTCGGTGAACAAGTTCCGCGACTGAATCGCCACTGGGGTCGCTGAAGCCAAGGCCGCGCTCACCTAAGGCCAAGGAGGAGTACAAGCGCTACTACGACCGGAGACGCACTCCGTCTCCAGAGTTTAAGGTTGGCGACCGTGTTTGGCTGGATGCCTCTGACATCAGGACAACTCGCCCCTCAGAAAAGTTCTCCCATCGCCGCCTCGGACCATTCAAGATAGTCGTGGAAATCGGCAAAGGTGCCTACAAGCTTGACCTCCCTCCGTGCTACTCGAAGCTCCACCCGGTCTTCCCCGTCGTCAAGCTCGAGCTCGCCCAGGACCACCCCTTCGACGGACGCCCCGGCTACGACCAGCCCCCTCCGGACCTCGAGGACGGAGTCCCGGAGTGGGAAGTAGAGGAAATCTTGGACGTGAGGGTGAGGTATAAACGGCTGAACTACTTTGTCAGATGGAAAGGCTACGACGCATCGCACGACCAGTGGGTCCGCTTCGACCGCGTCTTCGCCCCGGAGAAAATTGCGGAGTTCTATCGTAAGTACCCTGGCAAGCCACGACACATTGCCTCCGCGACCTTTGACTCGATTCCGTTCCAGTCTATACGTCGAGACACCGCATTCAAAGGGGGGGGTGATGTCAGGGGAACCTCCCTTTCGGCCCGGAGACGCGCCCGATTCCGGTCTGATTCCGGTTCCGACTCCGGTCCGGCCCTCCATCTCGCCCGCACAATCACCGATCCGTCAACGCCCTCCCGACGGTCGCCCTGGGACCTTGCCTGCGACGCCGCCCAAGCCTTCTGTGCCCGACAGCAGCAGCTACGGACAAGCAGTATATAGTCAGCTCCCTAGCAGGTGACCCTTAGAGTTTCTTCTCTTTGGATCCTCCCCTGCTAGGACCTTGACCTCAGGCCTCCGGGGTTGCGCTTACAATATGAGTCTACCCTAAAGACCTATAGTGGTCACTTTGGGGAAATATTCCCCACCACATATTGTCACAAATTTTGTGTTTTGCATGATTTGTTCTGCATAATTTGGGTAGAGTGAAGAAAGATGGTGAACTCTCAGTCTTGCCCAGGGAAAAGAAGGAAAGTCATACATGTTGTAAGACTCCGAATGGTCTTTTATAGTGCCAGTGGTCACTTTGGGGAAATATTCTCCTGCCATATATGTGTACATTTTTTGTGTTTAGCACGATTTTTCCTGTATTTCTCGGTGGATTTGACTGTAACTGACCATGATAATATAAAATTATATGTGTTACCTCTATGAGGTATTTTTAATTCAGAAAAAGTTACATTCTTGGACTTATGTGGCATTTATTAATGATTGCCTTTTTTGGTTAAACTTTAAAAGCCATTAGAAAAAAAACAATAGTCACTGTATTCTGTATTTTTGTTTAGCTGTAACAGATCATGACAGTACATAACAATTTACACAGGCCACTGTCTACAGAGTTTAATAACTACTATTAACTCCAACACTCATCTAGTAATCTTGAAATTGGAGGCATTTCTGTATCAATTCAAGAGATATCCAGGCTTACTGTCAATTGAACCTCATTAAGCAGGCAGTAAGCCGAGGCTCAGTATCTGCCTTTGACAGACTGAAATTTGGGTCAATCCATTGTCGATAGCCTTGGTGATGTGTAAATGGGGTTTGACTGTAGATGCTATTATAGCCCATTAGGCCCTGGGGTGATGAACCAGTTCAGCCACTGCATAAAAGTCATGCCATGTTGTGGAAAAGTCGCACTGTCAAAATAAATATGTCACTGAGTCAGCCGGAGTATCCCCGTGCCTTTTCTGCTAATGGTGTAACAAAATTTATTACACTACCCAAATTATGCAGAACAAATCATGCAAAACACAAAATTTGTGACAATATGTGGTGGGGAATATTTCCCCAAAGTGACCACTATAGGTCTTTAGGGTAGACTCATATTGTAAGCGCAACCCCGGAGGCCTGAGGTCAAGGTCCTAGCAGGGGAGGATCCAAAGAGTGAATAGAAGTAAGCAAATACAAGTGAGGCTGACCTAGCAGGGGAGGATCCAAAGAGAAGAAACTCTAAGGGTCCGCCTGCTAGGTAGCGGAACTATATACTGCGCTCTTGACGCGCCAAGGTTGATCGTTGCTCCGTGCAGTATGCCTGCGCCATGTCGCAGGCCAGGTCCCAGGGGGATCGCCAGGCGGGGCGGCGATGCGCCTGACGGAGGCGGTGATGCTGATCGCCGGAGTCGGAACCGGAGTCGGACCGGATCGGAATCGTCTCCGAGGGGCCGAAGGGGAGGTTCCCCTGACATCACCCCCCCTTTGAATGCGGCGTCCCGACGCATAGACCGGAATGGAATCGAGTCGAAGGTTGCAGAGGCGATGTGCCGTGGTTTGCCAGGGTACTTACGATAGAACTCCGCGATTTTCTCCGGGGCGAAGACGCGGTCGAAGCGGACCCACTGGTCGTGCGACGCGTCGTAGCCTTTCCATCTGACGAAGTAATTCAGCCGTTTATACCTCACCCTTGCGTCCAGGATTTCCTCTACTTCCCACTCCGGGACTCCGTCCTCGAGGTCCGGAGGGGGCTGGTCGTAGCCGGGGCGTCCGTCGAAGGGGTCGTCTTGGGCGAGCTCGAGCTTGACGACGGGGAAGACCGGGTGGAGCTTCGAGTAGCGCGGAGGGAGGTCGAGCTTGTAGGCACCTTTGCTGATCTCCGCGACTATCTTGAACGGTCCGAGGCGGCGGTGGGAGAACTTCTCCGAGGGGCGAGTCGTCCTGATGTCAGAGGCATCCAGCCAAACACGGTCGCCAACCTTAAACTCCGGAGACGGAGTGCGTCTCCGGTCGTAGTAGCGCTTGTACTCCTCTTTGGCCTTAGTGAGCGGCCTTGGCTTCGGCAACACCAGTGGCAATCCGGTCGCGGAACTCGTTCACGGACTCCATAGCGGAACGGACTCCGGGTTCGAAGCCCATGCGCGGGGAGTCGTCCCGTGTCCGTCATGAAGGGGACTTGTTGCGTGGAGGAGTGAACGTGGTTGTTGTAGGCGAACTCCTGGCCGGAATCAGCTCATCCCAGTCGTCCTGCTGATAGTTGGTAAAGATCCGCAGGTACTGTTCCAGCTCCTGGTTGACGCGCTCTGTTTGACCGTCTGTCTGCGGGTGGTACGCAGTGGACGTGGCAGGCTTGATGCCGATTAGACGCCAGAGTTCTCGGGTGAAGTCCGCGATGAACTGCGAGCCGCGGTCGGAGACGTACTTCTCCGGAGTCCCGTGATGGCGCCAGACATTCCGGTAGTAGAGGCGAGCCGCCCCTACTGCGTCGACCGTGGTGTGACACTCCGAGAAGTGGGCGCGCTTCCCAAGGGTGTCGACGACGACCATGATCGCGTCGTACCCATGGGCCTCCGGAAGCTCGACGATGAAGTCGACGGAGACGGTATGCCAACGCTCTGGGGG